TCCTGGCTCTTGTCAACTATTGTTTGAAAAGTGGATCTCAAATCTGCCCTGGACTGGGGTGTTCTGTTTCCCCAAACCAGCAAGAGCTCCACTCCATGCCCTGAGACCTTCAGGACTTCAGATGTCTGGCCATCCTGGCTTTAAGGAGCATTCTGGCTGTACTTCTTCCAACACAGATTTGTTTGTTCTTCTGGCAGTCCAACATTCTCCTCCAACACCATAACTCAAAGGCATCAATTCTTCTCCGGTCTTCCTCATTCATTGCCCAACTTTCACATGCATATGAGGTGACTGAAAATACCATGGCTTAGATCAGGTGCATCTTCGTCCTCAAACTAACATCTTTGCTCTTTAACACGTTAAAAAGGTCGTTTGCAGCAGATTTGCCTAATGCAATAAATATATCGTTTGAGTTCTTGACTGGGCTTCCATGAGTGTTGATGGTGGATCGAAGCAAAGTAGTCTTTGACAACTTCAATCTTTTCTTCATCATGATGTTATTAATTGGCCTTGTGCTAAGAATTTTTCTTTTCTTTACATTGAGGTAAATGTGGTCTTTGATCTTCATCAGTAAGTAATTAAGTCCTCTTCACTTTTAGCAAGCAATGGTGTATTATTTGCATGTCTCAGGTGTTCTATGGACAAAATAACCTGCGATATTTTGGCCACAGAATCTTTTTTTTCCCCACATTAAAACAACCATAATTGAAATTTTATTTTACGTACAAAGTGTTGGCATTGTTTTTGTTGAGTGCCTATGTCTTGGAGAATCCATTTCAGAGATGATCACTTAGTCCAACCTGTAGAAACCCAGCGCCTTTGCGTACTGACGGAAGCACTGGCGGCACATGTTCAGGCCGTATTTCTGGATGAGACCATGCCAGTTTGAGCACATGCGCAAAAGCGGGAACCCTGGCCGAATTTTCGCCGGTGACTCCAGTACAGTTGCTTTGAAGAATGCACCAAGGCAAAAGGCAGAATCTTTCAATATTACAACTCGAGTTTTGAATTTTTGCTTAAGTTTTCAGTTTGAGAAATGCTGAGCACATCCTTCCCTTTTAGCTGTCTCCTGGTCTTTACACATTTTAACACTTTGTCTTCTTGAGCCACCCTCTGAAATCTTCTGTTCAGCAATTTTTTCCTTTCTTCCTTTCACTTCAGCTGGTCTATGTTCGAGAGCAAGTTTCACAGTCTCTTCTGACCTCCATTTTGGTCTTTTCTTTCTTTCCTGCCCTTCTAATGACTTCTTGGTTTTTTCATGTTTGATGTCTTTACTATCATCCCACAGCTCATCTTGGGCTTTGGTCATATGTGTTCAATGTCTCAAATCTCTTCTTGAGATGGTCTTTACATTCAAGTGGGCTATACTCAAGGTTGTGTTTTGGCTCTTGTGGATTTAATTTTCTTCAGCTTCAACTTGAACTTGCAGTCGGCCCCTGGTCTTCTACTGTCTGATGATACTGAGCTTCTCCACTGTCCCTTTCTACAGAGGTAGGTGATTTCATTCCCACGTATTTCATCTGGTGAGATCCATGTGTATAGTCACTGTTTAAATTGCTGAAAAAGATCCATTTGCAATGAGTAAGTCATTGGTTTTACACCATTCCATCATTCAATCTCAGGCATCATTTTTATTATAAAGGTCACAATTTCCAATGACTGATCCTTCTTCTTTGACTAAGACAGGCTAGGAAGAAGAAAAATTAGCCACTTCAAACCTTATGGATAGCAGTGAGTCCTTCAGGTTGAAAGGTACTCAAAATATGACTGGGGAAGAGCTTATTACTCAAAGCAGACTTTAACTTAATGCTGTAGATGAGTTAGGTTTGGGGGACTTTCATTTGCTGTTGGGGCATGACACAAAATAAGAAAAGTTGAAAACATCAATAGATGGAATGTGGAATGTGCAAAGTATGAATCTAGGGTAACCGGAGGTTGTCAAAATAAAACAGGATACCTAAAGATAAAAATCCTGGCCATTAGTGAGCTGAAACGGACTGGTATTGAGAATCAGACAATTCTGGTCTAGTATGCCAGGAATGACAGATCAAAGAGGAACAGCAGTCTATTCATTGTTAGGAAGAGCATGTTAAGGTCACCCTGAAGTCCAACACCGTCGGTGACAGGATGCACTTTTACAAGATCACTTAATGCAACTGTTATTCAAATATACACACCAACCAGGATCACCAAAGATAAAGAAACTGAAGATTTTTATCAACCGCTGCAGTCTGAAATTGATCAAATAGTCAATCAAGATGCACTGGTAAGTACTGCTGATTGGAATGTAAAAGCCAGAAACACAGGAGGATTCAATGTAACTCCAACTAAAAAGCAAACCAAAAGGAGTGTCTGACATTCAGAACTGTCACTATACTGAGACTCACACACGCTGATCACATGGGACACCGTGCACCAACCATCCACATACAGCAGGGCCAAAATGTCCCATTTCTTCTCACAAGACATCCTCAGGAGAAGACAGGTATAGGTTAACATTACACGCTGGACAGTTGCTGGAGGCTCACAGGTGACTAACTCATACACTACCTCTGAAGGCTGAGAAGGCTGTGTCCCAGAGCCCCCTCACGTGCATGCTTGCAGCAGAGAGCTGGCCGGAGAAGAATGGGAACAGGAGCAGGAAGGCAGAGGGCGGTGGAGATTACGGCTCTCCGAGGCAGTGCTGGTGAGACACAGCAACTGACCACCACAGTGGTGCCTGCTGACCACAGAGTGGCTCCTCAGGCCCAAGTCCGTGTCCTGACAGGGTTTCCTGATGGGTATGGATGCCGCCCAGGTACTCCCACCAGCACTGGGCTACAGCCCCCGGGAAGCAGCTCTATAGAAACAACAGCTTCCCAGACAGGATGAGCCCCTCTTCACAAGCCCTGTTTGAGACCCCACTCCAATGAGATTCTTGTATTTATTCCATTTTCTTACAGGCTCTTATATTCAGGAGGAATTCCCTTCCCCTCTGCTTTTCTGAGCCTCTTTCAGACCTTCACCTCATCCTCCTCTCACATCTGGACCTTAGCCCTTCATTGCCATAGTGACAGCAGCTGTCTTATTCTGAGTAAACCCTGTCTGAGAAGAGTTGGCTTTTAAAAAAGAGGTCTCTATTACAGCCTTCGATATGGATTACATCTCAATGTCAAGAAAACAAAAATCCTCACCACTGGACCAATAAACAACATTCTTATCAATGGAGAAAAGATTGAAGTTGTCAAGGACTTCATTCTTCTTGGATCAACTATCAACACTCGCGGAAGTAGCAGTCAAGAGATCAGACGACGTATTGCATTGGGCAAATCTGCTGCACAGGAACTTTTTAAAGTACTGAAGAGCAGACATGTCAGCTTGAGGACTAAGGTATGCCTGACCCAGGCCATGGTGTTTTCAATAACCTCATATGGATGCGAAAGCTGGACAGTGAATAAGGAAGATCGTAGAAGAATTGATGCCTCTGAGTTGTGGTGTTGGAGGAGAATACTGAAAGTGCCATGGACTGCCAAAAGAACCAATAGATCTGTTTTGGAAGAAGTGTGGCCAGAGTGCTCCTTGGAGGCCAATATGGCTAAGCTTCGTCTCTCATACTTTGGACATACTGTCCGGAGGAAACAATCGTTGGAGAAGGATGTCATGCTGGGTAAGGTGGAGGGTCAGAGAAAATGAGGAAGACCTCTAATGATATGGATTGGCCAGGTGGCATCATTGATGGACTCTGGTGTGGCAGTGGTGGTGAGGTTGTCCCAGGATCGGACATTGTTTCATTCTGCTGTGCATGGGGTCGCTATGAGTCGGTTCCGACTTGATGGCACCTGACAACAACAACATCCCTTTATTTAAGGAGCTCTGGTAGCATAGTGGTTACAAATCGGGCTGCGAACCGCAAGGTCAGCAGTTCGAAACTACCAGCCGCTCCGCGGGAGAAAGATGAGGCTTTCTGCTCCCGTAAAGATTTACAGCCTCGGAAACCCTGTACAGGGTCGCTATGGGTCGGAACTGACTCGATGGCACTCAACAACAACAACATCCCTTTATTTGGAGTCCTGGTGTGGCACTGTGGGTTAATACACCAGACTGCAAAGCCGTTTGAAGTGCAAGGTCGGAAGTTCAAGCTCACCAGCTGCTCCTCAGAAACCCTATACAGGGTCGCTATGAGTTGGAACCGACATGACGGGACTTAACAACAACATCCTTTATTTGGAGTCCTGGGGTGGTACTATAGAATAAGTAGTGAAGTGTTAACCACAGGGTTGTTGCTCCTTGGAGACCCTGTACAACAGGGTTGCTATGAATCGGAACTGATGCACCAACACTTCCTGCCAAGAGCATCCCTTTAGACAGGTGGAGTTTGTAGGAGTAGATGCTGACGTCCTCTGACTCAAAACTACCAGAAGCAGACACTTACTCTAAGGTTTTATTGTTGTCACAGGTAGACTCGCTGCCAAATGGGCTGATTCCAAAATGCAGACTAAGAACAGGGACTTAAAATGTACAGAGCAGAAGTTAGCGATACCAAACTCAGATGATTTCTTTTGGGGGGAGGAAAAATTAGAAACTATCACGTGGTTTTTAAAACAAAGCTCTCCCCTGTGGTGGGTTGGGCTTCTTGTGTCCCCAGATTTCAATGACTGTCACCGAACAGAACATGCGAGTACATTAGGGGAGTGCATCTAGAACACTTGGCTATTTCTAGTCACCTTACTTAATGTGCTTAAAGGAAAATATGGAGCTGCTTCCAAACAAAAGTTTCCTCTGGAAGCGATTGTTTATCCAAAGTGTTTAATACAGTGATTTTCTGTTTTCGGAAAAGGCTAACTTCTCCCCTCTTCCCACCTGAACAGACCCCCAGGGCCACCAGCAGTGAGCAGAGGCAAGGGCGAAACCGCGGCAGAGCAAACTGTAACGTGGGATAAGGAGTCGGTCTAGAATCCAGCCTTTATTCCGCATCTCTCCACTGCTTCTCGTGGCAAGTTCTGGACAGCGGCCAATGCCAGCTAGGTGTTGAGCACGATCAGCTTATGGAGCTGGTAGAGAAAGGTGTTCTTGCCACGGCTGCCCTCCCGGTCAGCCTGCTCCATGACCAGCTTTGGGTCAACCTAGCGAGAGAGACCAAGGACAGTCAGGCTCGATCCCTGCCAGGATGGGAAACAGATAAAATACGTACAGAGAGGCACACACACAGCCATGTCGGGCACCACAGAGTTCTTCCAAAGACTCTTACGTAATGTTTCTCTAGTCTCAGCACTCTAGGAGAGTGTCATATGGTGACCCCAGGGGACAGCAGACCGGCCCTCTGCCACTTCCAGGGCTGGCGGGTGTTCTCCTGTGGAGCTAGGGGGTGGTTTGAATCGTTGTCCTTGACTTCCTGTGACACTATACCCCGGAATACACCTTTAACTTTGTATTTCTTATGGCTCACTTCCTCAGAACCTCACAACACTCCTTCTCATGTCAAAGTGAACACAAGTTCATCAAGAACCCTGATGCTTGGGCGTATCCGCACCACACAGCCTCACTATGTTCCAGTTCTGTGGGCCCAGTGGCCACGGTGGCCCCATTGGTTCAAAATCCTGGGCAAAGCCAAATGCCCAGCAATACCCTGGGTGTTTGTTCTTAGAGGGGCCGACGAAGCGGCTTCTCCCGATGCAGCAACCTCTCCAGGGAGGAGGACTAGCCCCCGGTCTGGGATCCACCTCCCACGTTCCTCCCACTGGAGTCTCCTTTTACCCCATTGGGAGAGGCCGAGTATCAGGGGAGCCATCCCGCATCCAGCCAACGTGACTACCAGCTGGTGAGCAGCCAGCGCTTTCACAGACCAGGAGAAGCAAGGGGTTAACCCAGGGCAGTCAGCCCATTTCCCTAAATTCCAGGCAGTGGCCTGGGCTGACAATCCTCACAGACCCTGTGCAAGCTCACTGCCGCCTCCTAACCCCACAGCACCCACGGGTCTTGAGTCCCGTTCTCCACATCGCCAGCCAGCTCATGTCCTCTACACCTGCTCACTCACCTGATTCCAATCATACGGCTTGTCATGCCACTTAGGGACAATTCTCTCTCTTGGCTTCACCTGACAGAACAAGCTAAAATTTAACAGAGAAAATCAAATTCTCCTGGTTATACAGTAATAATTTACAACACTGACTTTTAAAAAAAGTTTTAATCCGATTGCCCTCAGAATTATAGCAACACTAAGTTTTTAAAAGGTCAAATTTCATATGGCTATGATCAGAGAAGATTTTAATCCAGAGCACATTCTAAGCATGGGAAATGCCCCGTTACCAACTTGTTGCACCTACTGATTCAAACTCTGTGAGATGTAACAGGATTTTACATCATTTGTTGGAGAGATCAAAAGCTTAAGAAGGCAGGTATATAGGGAGCTCTGAAAATCTGCCCCCCACCTCTACCCCAAACAGTTAAAAAAAAAAAACTGGATAAAATTGTCAAAATGAACCATTTCAAAGCTCTGGAAAACAACCAAAGACAGACAAATTCAGAAGCATTTTTCCTGAAAAACTGATGAAATGCAGGCCACCAGCATACCTGCCATCTCCACCTACTGTGCTCCAGCCACCCACAGCTGTCAGCCCCGCCCATCAGCATCACTGCTGCCACAGGGAGCTGGTTGGTGTGGGGGCAGCCTCAGGCACTGGCAGTGTCCCCCCACCCCAGAGCCCATTCCCAGCCTTCACAAGGCAGCTGAGAAAGCAGAGTGGGAGGGGGAAGCCCGGTCAGCACAGAACTTACCCTAGAAGTTTCTGACGAGCATTATCCTGTAACTGAGCAATTCTTTCTGGCCCAAGATACTTAGATCCATTTGGTCCATCACTTATTAGCTTGTTAATAGCTGCCCTGAGAATATTAATCTGTAGACAAATGGCAACACAGACATTCCATATGGTTCTATCAGAAACTGATGAAATGTGGACATTTCATCCCACTTTTAACTCACAAACTCCGAAGCAGTGTTTGAGAACTGGCAATAGCATCAGATCCTGCCTACCTTCAAAGAGGCTAGGGAATGATTCCCATAAGGCAGGTCAGACCTGCCTCCTCCTCTGCCCAACCCTTACAGCAATCCGGACACCTCCGTCCCTCTGTCTGTCCCTCGGTCCCTCTCACAGCGCTCTCCGCTGCTCCTCTGCCTTGCAAGGGGCCCAGCACTCACTCATAGCTAAGCTGTTTCTAGAGGAAATGCCAGGCTAGGACTCAGGGTCAAGGGCAGGGTGTAGAGGCAGTCTCCCTCCCTTGGTTCAGCACAGGCCTCTGCTCAGCCACAGGACCTCCCAGGGCTGTCTTCTGGGTTACAGAGACTCCTGGATCTGCTACCTCTCTTTCCTCCTTCTGGTCAGGTCTGGTCAGACACCAAACCCCCTGCCACTGAGTCCGTCTCTACTTCCAGGGACCATACAGGGCAGGGTCCAAGTGCTCCCTAGGGTTTCTGAGACTATAAATCTTTACAGGAGCAGACAGTCTCATCCTTCAGCCGGTGGCTCTGAAATGCTTATCCCACTGTGCCACCAGAACTCCTACAGACACACAAAGGCCTCATCAATTTCAAGTCACGCTCCTCCCACCAGGGCCACAAACTGAACCCTCGTCCCTCAGTAGGTCACAGACAGTCAGCAGTACGATAGCCTACAGGAATTTCATTTACCTAGTCTATAGGCACCTCATTTGCATAGTCCAAAAGATCACTTCCTGCAAGGTGCATACCAGCCAGTCAAGAGTCTGACAAACAGGATCAAAACCAAGGTGTTCACAGTTTCCCCAAGAAATGCCCATCAACTTGGGGTAGAAAACTAGGGCAAGGAGACTCCTCAGGGCTTAGGGAGAAATCTCTCAGCAGAAGGCCACACAAAGAGCTCATTTCATTGTCCTCTTCTTATAAACACCTTCCATACTGGTCTTAAAACACAAACAAATAGCTGCTATAACTCAAGAAAGAATTACCAAAGAAAACTTTTTAAGTTCCATTTAACCATGTAACATAGCTGACTTTGCGACACTGCACAAGGTCTTCCTCCCACTCATTGATGTGGATGTGAAGCCCGAAGCAGTACGTCCCCTCGGCGGTGCATACAACATGCAGTGCTCTGTGGCTGGATCCTGTCATAGTTTTAAAAGTCTGCAAATTCCCCTACCTGACAAAACCAAGAACTCCTCTTTGGTAATCGTTCTGTAAGTAAATGTGTTCTACGGTCCAGGACCATGTCACATTTGTTGTAATCTGTCCCAATTTCTCCTGGTCTGGGGCTATTTCTCTGACTTTTCTTGTTTTTCAAGATTTTGACAGTTTTGAGTTCTGGTCAGGTCTCTAGTTTGTTTAATTCTTTTGTCATGCTTAGACGGGGGTTCTGGGAAGATGACTCCAGAGGTAAAGAACCCTTCTCGTTGTATTAACCAGGGGAATCTCTGGGCTGGTCACCTCATCCTTTCGTTCCGGTGGCTAGCAGCCAGGTTTCTCCATTATAATGTTTCTCTTCTTCCCTTTTCCAGTCTGCTTGGCTATTGTTGTTAGGTGTCTCTGAGCCAGTGCTGACCCATCCTGACCCTGTGCCCAACAGACTGAAGCACTGCCTGGACCTGTGCCATCCTCACAATACGGGAGCTCACTGCTGCAGTCACTGGGCCAATCCACCTCACTGAGGGGCCTTCTCTTTTCCATGGACCCTCCTGATAACATGTCCAAAGTATAAGAGACAAAGTCACAATCCTTCCTTCAGAAGAAGCATTCTGGCTGTCCTTCCACCACAGAATTGCTGCCCAAGGTATAGTTAATATCTTCAGCAACACGATCATTCAAACACATAGGGTTCTTCCTTGGCCTTCCGTATTCACTGTCCAGTTTCCACCTGCATATGAAGCAACTGAAAATACCATGGCTTAGGCCAAGTGCACCTTAGTGTTCAAGATGACCTCTTGGCTCCTGAACACTTTAAAGAGGTTTTTTGCAGTGATCGGCCTTATAGAATACATGGTTTAATTTCTTGACTGCTGTTTCCATGGGGGTTGATTTTAAATGGGGAGGGGGGGGGTGTCAAGTAAAATGGAACCTTGATCACTTCACTATTCTCTGTCTCTGGTCACGTTGCTTCTTGGTCCACTTCTGAGGATTTGTGTTTTCTTAACACAGAGATGAAATCCATTCTGAAGGTTGTGATCTTGTCCCTCCAGTCCTCTTACCTTCCAGCACGGTTGTTCTTATCTGCCTGTCGCAGGTTGTGAAATGAGTCTTCCTACAAACCTGACAACATCTTCTTCTTCTTCTTCATCCAGCTTCCGGTGGACAGGTTTCAGCTGAGCTTTCAAGACGGACTCAGAAGGAGGAGAGGCAAACTACTTCCAAATGGTTAGCCCCGTGACTTGAGCCCCTTACAAATGGCAGTGACCCACGGTCAGAGTCCTGTCTGAAACATGAGTAGTACCACCAAAAGACTTCCGGATATCACGCCAGAAGGTGAGCCACGCCAGCTGGAAGCACTCAGACCACGACTGGGGAAGAGCTGCTCCTCAACGTAGAGTCGACCGTGATGAGCTGACAGTGACAACACAAGTGAGGCAAAGGTTTGGGGAAACCGCTGCAAACATCCATTAGTAATTGGAACATGAAATGCACAAAGTATGAATCTAGGAAATCTGGAAGTTGTCAAAAATCAAATAGAACGCATAAACACCAATACCCTAGGCATTTGCTGTCGTTGTTAAGTGCCATCAAGTGGGTTCCGAGTCATAGCGACTCTGTATATGGTTTCTGAGGAGCAGCTAGTGGGTCTGAACCGCCAACCTTACAGCTGAAACTGACCTTGCAATCCAGCGCAACACCCTGTGGTATTACACCAGGACTCCATCCTAAAGCATTAGTGAGCTGAAATGGACTGGCCTTGGCCATTCTGAATCTGACAATCACATGGTTTACTATGACGGGAATGACAAATTGAAGAGGAATGGCATCGCATTCATCATCAAAAAGAACATACCAACATCTATCCTGAAGCATAACACTGTCTGTGATAGGAAAATATCCATACTCCTACAAGGAAGGCCAGTTAATAACACTATTATGCAAATTTACCCACCAACCACTAAAGCCAGTATTGATGAAATTGAAGAATTCTACCAACTTCTTCAGTCTCAAACTGATCAAACATGTAATCAAAATGTTTTGATAATTACTAGTGATTGGAATGCAAAGGTCAAAAAAGAAAAAAGATCTTTTCATGTAGTTGGAAAATACAGCCTTAGTGATAGCAACGATGCCTAATATTCTAGCCCAGTTAACTTGCTCTTTCATACTTTGGACATATTGTCAGGAGGGACCACTCCCTGGAGAAGGGGAGCATGCTAGGTAAAGTGGAAGGTCAGCGAAAAAGAGGCCCTCCCCCACCCCAACGAGATGGGCTGGTACACTGGCAGCAGCAAAGGCTCCAGCTTACCAACGATTGTGAGGCTGGCACAGGACTGGGCAGTGTTTCGTTCTCTCGTGCGTAAGGTCGCTATGAGTCACAATTGACTAGGTGGCACCTAACAACTACAATACGGATTATTTGCTCAGCATATAGATTGAATAAGTATGGTGAGAGGGTACAACCTTGCTGCATATCTTTCCTGATTGTAAATCATGTATTATCCCCTTATTCTGGCCTAACAACTGCCTCTTGGTCTATGCACAGGTTCCTTAAGAGCTCAGTTAAGTGTTCAGGAATCCCCGCTCTTCTCCATGCTCTCCGCAACTTCTTACAGACACCACACAGTTGAATGACTTTGCATAGTCAATGAAATAGGTATTCATCTGACGTCAGCAATGCCATTCCTTGTTCCATGTCTTCTGAATCTGGCTTCAATTTCTGGCAGTTTCCTGTTAATGTGCTTGCTGCAATCATTTTTAAATTATCTTCAGCACATTTTTCGAACATGTGATCTTAACGTTGTTGTTGTTAAATGCCATCGAGTTGGTTCTGACTCACGGCAATCCTGTACAAGTGGGTTTGAACCTCTGCCCTTGTGACTGGCAGTCCAGTGCTGATCCTACAGCGCCACTCCAGTTACTTCCCTGATAAACCACGCAGCTGTAAGCCTGGCCGGTGACTCTGTGATGCAGTCACTGCCACAAAGCCTACAACCCAGCAGAGAAGCAGAGAGCAGTGGAGGGGTGGAGGGAGCATCAAGGGTCAGAAACAGTGAGAACTCAGGCTGCAAAGCAGACGTGAGGCTGACCTCCACCTCCTGGGAATCCACATTGGGTTGATCTGGAATCCCTGCCCTCCTCCCGAATACAGACGCTTGGGTGCTGGATGATCAGCAAGCAGATACTGCCCCCACTGTATGATGAGGGTGGGGGCAGACAAGAGCGCACGAGCCCGTGTACTGTAATGAGAATGTCAACGTTACCTCCATGATGTCCTCCACCTTGAACTGAACATCAAAGGCTAGCTCAATGTCGTGCTCTGGTAGGATAGGGGTCCCTGTGGTGGGGTTCCATCCCAAACCACAGAGGACTCCAGTGTAGCATTTTCCATCCGGATCAACCCTAAAGGAAATATTGTGAGAAGAATTAGTATTTCAAAATTGTTAAACCACTGTTTTAATTTCAATAAAACAGTTACGAAGAGAATACATTAAAGAACACTAAGTAATGTTCAGGCTTCTGCGGTATGATGGATGGCTTTTATGTGGCCTTTCTCACCATGGCTGTGTAGCTCCCACCAGACTGGGTGGACTATGCAATCAGCCAAGAGGAATGGATAGCTTGCTAATAATGCAAATAAGGTGTGTGGCACCCTTGTGGGGATGGGGTCATGCATATAGGTATGTGCAACCCTAATGAGGGGACTGGTTAGCTTTGCCATCCCACTAGGCCTAAAATGAGGCATTCCAGAGGTAGCAGGGGCACCTGCTACCATCAAAAAGAGAAGGGAGCAGAGCGCATCCTCTGCTGAGAACCTCCAAGACCCAGGAGACCGAGACCTGGGGCTTTAACACTGGAGATAACACAGGCAGGGAGACACAGCGACAGCAGAACCAGGAGACGAGCACAAGACAGCAGTGGGCTTCCTGGCTCACAGGGTCTTCAGGTAGAAGGCTCTCTGGCAGAGCGGGGGTACCTCGGAGCACTTGTCAGTGGAGCTAGGCTCACCGGGAATCTTTGGAATTGGGGCTTACTGGTAGAGTAGGGTCCCTCTAGGCATTTACTGGAGAAGGTACAGAGCTTTGTTAACACTTGCCCAGGCAGGGTGGAGGCCAGGGTGGCCCAAAAGGCCCATGAAGCCCAAAGGCTGAGGGTCTGAGAAAGACCCGCCTGTGGGCACAGCCAAGAAGCTGTTCTGACTGGAGAACTGTATCCTCAGTCATTCTTGACTCTGAATTGTAGTCTGTCCTGGTATGGCACTGTAGGATAAGTACTGGATCACAAGGTCAATTTAAACCGCAAGGTAGCAATTCAAACCTACCAGCCACTCCTCAGAAACCCTACACAATGGCACTTAACAACAACTACGACAACACTTCCCTAACAAATCCCCACACCATGGCCATAGTCTGAGAGTTCCAGTGGTCACTGCAGTGAATTATCAAAGCAAACACAACAGTAGAGGGTGTGGTGGAGGGGAGCTGCTGTCAGAAGTGCTGAAAGGTTGGCGAGAGGCAGCTTGTCCACTTCTGTTTCCTAGGAATCGCCTTGGACTGTTGATGCTGATGCAGGTTCTCCTCCCACCTTGGAAGGTTAGATGAGGAGGTCTGGTGCTAACAGCCCCACACCATTTTTAGTTTCTAGATCTGGCTGCTGCAGATGATACAAAGAATATTCTATCACATACTCTGAATTCTTTCCATGGGTTAAATTCTGATTAGTGAGATTTCAGGAGAAAAGGTTGTACACATATTTATAACCTGTGAAAGCAGTCTGGCACTTAAGTCAAAGCTGACAGGATGTTTGTTCCACCGTCCTGCCCTAAAAGAACTGTACAGATTTACGACGCACAACTGTATTTGCCAATTTTACCAAAACTCACCCTCCGCTACCCAACATGCCCTCACTCCCCGCTCTGAAAGTTTTTCTTCCTGCCAGCTCTCCTGCCACAATCCTGCTCCCAGTGAACCCTGGCATGGCTTCTGGCCCGTCTCCCCGTCTACCTCTGCTTCCTCTGCTCTACTACCATATGCAGACAGTCAGTCCTGCTCCTTCTGGCTTAGGGGCGATCAGCGACTTCTTTGAGCATTCAGACAACAGCCCACACTTGTCCCAGGGTCTACACACCAGGTAGGGTTCTCTCTGCTGAGCTCATCCACCGCTCCTCAGATGCCCTCTCCGAGCATAACTTCTCCACCTGTGTCAGGCCTCCAGAAACTCCCACCCACCCACCAGGCTCCTCCAGGTCCCCTACAAAGATCCCCTCCCCAACCCAACCCATCAGGCTCTTTCCCTTTTTTCTGGTATTAGTTTAAATGGAGAAAGACCACCAAAGAGATGGACTGGCACAGTGGCAGCAGCAATGGGCTGACGTAGAAACAATTGGGAGGTTGACAGGACTGAGCCGTGTTTTGTTCTGGTTTGCACAGGGTCACTGCTATGAGTTGGTTATGGATTCAATGGCACCTAAAAACAACAAGTGTCAATGCCAAGGCCATCACCCACAATAGGGTCCACATGTGATTACAAAGTGAACAAATAAACGACACTAGTGCTAAAGGTCTATGAAATAGTTCGCTAATTTTCTTGGACTCTTAATAATTCTAACATCTTTTCTGAAACAATTAGATTTTGATGAAAATTTCTAGGCAAAAGTAGTATTCTTTGTAGTTCAAAAGACAGACACATCTCTTTTTCGGTTTAATGTGAATGAAAGAATTCAGACTTATAAATTAGAGGACCGTTGTTACGAAGTGCCATCAAGTCCATTCTGACTCACAGGGAGGGACCCTACGTAGCGTTCCTGAGCCTGTGTGTCTTTATGGGAACAGTGGTCTCATCTTTCTCCTGTGGAGTGATCACACTGCAAGCCTTGTTTAGCAGCTCAGTGCTTATTCTATAGCACTCCTACTTAGGGGGTACTTGTATAAAACAGTCCCCCACGTGTCAGCTCCCCTCCAGTGCTTTAAATAGAATCCAATGTATGATTCCATTTCTAGAACAGTGATCCAGACCGGAAGTCATGAGTACCTGAGGGCCACGGAACTGAAAGCAGAATTGCTGTCTCAGCCTTTCTCCCAGGGTGTCCCTGGATCCCAGTTTTCCGGAGCCCTGACTGCACAGCACCTGTTCTTCCTGGAGCAGGATCCAAAAGGACTCGCTGGGAACAGACCGTGAGGCGTCCTTCTCTGCTCGCCCACTTTGCATCCTAGGTCAGCCAGACACCAAAGCATGGCGCTGGAGTTCCTTCTCAGGACGCTAGATGCTCTTGTGAACTTAAATGGTTGTGACGACCACACGAAACACTCTAAATACACGTAACACAAGCTTCAGACTCAAAATGGAATTGGGAAAATCACGAGAGGGATCAAAGGAAGGATTTTCCCCACAGAGTAACCACCGCAAGGGCAAGTTACAGACATAATCATCCATCCTGCTTCGAAACTTGGGCACAGACTGACATTTATAAAGCTGACTACCAATATGTTGGAGCCCTGGTGCGGCGCTGTGGGCTAATGCACTAGACTGCAAAGTTGGTTTAAACAACAAAGTCAGCAGTTCAAGCTCACCAGCCACTCCTCAGAAACCCTACACAGACAGGGTCGCTATGGGTCGGAACCAACTCAATGGCACTTAACAACCACCACCTCCATCTCTGGGCTGACTGACTTGTCCAGACAATTAACTTTAAACTACCAGAATCTAAGATTAACTCCTATGGTAAGTTCATATGGAGTCCTGGTGTGGCACCGTAAGATAAACCCTGGACCAAAGAGCTGGTTTAAACCACAAGGTTGGCAGTTCAAACTCACCAGCCACTCCTCAGAAAACCTTCTTATACAGGGTCGCTATGAGTTGGAACAGACTCAACAACACTTAACAACAACAACAACAACATGAACTTATTACATGAGCCAAATAAGTCCAAATTTAACAGTCAGCCAGATGATCTGAAAATTCTGTATGGAAAAGGCTATGCTCCATGCTCTGGAACATGAACTGAGTCGACTTGCCAAGCGTTAGGCAGCAGTATTGCTGAAAGTCTGATGGTATTTTCAAATCCTTCTTGGCCCCTCCATGAGGCCCCCTCTGCCTCATCACATTCCCTAACCGCTCCTGTGGTCAGCTAATGCAGGGAGCATCTGCCCTGCTCCACACACAAGGCCAAGCATTACCCAGCTCCTTGAACAGAACAGTGTGCGCGGCCTTGCGAGCCCGCTGCAGAGGATCACAGACCCGTCCAGTAGAGCTCTGAGTGGACGGCTGGAGCCTAAGCCTGCCCCCGCTCTTGCACCACATGTTCTCTTCACATCACACTCCCGAAACTCATAAAGGAATCCCTCGTTACCCTTAAATTTTCTGGGGCCTTTTTAAAATGGAGTCCTGTAGGATAAGCATTGTATTACTAAATGAAAGGCTGGCAATTCAAACCCACCAGCTGCTCCTCAGAAACCCGACACAGGGTCACTGAGTCAGAACTGACTAGATGGCATAGATCATGCGGGGTTTTCATGATGAACACACGTTAAGAAGAAGATAACACGTGAGCACAGAGAGCATGGCAGACATCAGTCCCTGCCACCCCACGTGCTCCTCTGACTATGGGCAGGTGATCCTCTTCCACTGAGGTGGAGGAGGTGGCGACTCCTCTGACCCCACAATGGGGAAGAGCATCAAACTCAGCACCCTAAAGCAGTTCTGGTGAGGTGGTGGGCACACACGCTACCACGTTCCCATCTTCTGACACCAACCTGCCCCTAGTGGCGCAGCGCTACTTCTCAGCAGTGGCCACACAGAACTCATAGACTAGACTCACAGTTAGGGGATGCTTTAGGGGAGCTGAGTCCTGGGGTGGCGCTGTGGGTTAATGCGCCAGACTGCAAAGCCGTTTGAACAGCAAGGTCAGTGGTTCAAGCTCGCCAGCTGCTCCTCGGAAACCCTACACAGGATCGCTATGGGTCAGAACCGACTCAACGGCACTTAACAACAACAACAGCTCACAGTTCAGGCTCAGAAAAGTTTAGACTACAGTTCTTGGTCAAGACAGCCTCTCCAAAGGCATGCCCACAGGCCTCTTCCTCTGATCCTCGGCCCCTCGGGCTGGCCTCTGCCTTATTTGGCAGTCCTCATTTAGTATTGCTGATACATGTCTAGTTGGGGACTCCACACAGCCATAGCCTCAGCTCGGCTATGAAGGGGCTCGGCTCTGGCTCCGTGACCAGCAAACCTAGCTCCCCCACTTACGTACGTGCCTGGAGACACCTCAGTCTGCAAGCCAGCCTCCTGCCTGAAAGCACTGCGCCTTGCATACTCGGTGGCCGTTTGGGGCTCTTGGTGCTGCTGAAGCCACTTTTGTCTCCACGACCTCTCCAGGGTCACAGCTCTGTCTCCTGGGTGGAGGA